TTGGGCAGGATGCCCGCATTGTAGGCGCCCTCCATGTGCCGGCCCAGCGTCTCACAGGGGCTCTGCGGGGATGGCAGTCAGTGGGGTGCAGACCTCATGCACCCTGACCCCCCAGTTGCCTCTCCCAAAACAGCCCCTCCCCAGGAGCCTCCCTGGGGCACTCAGCTCTCTGTCACTCCAGGGCTGCCCTGGCTCTGCAGCCTGAGGGCACCAAACACGGAGCCGCGCAGTCCCTCGCTCTTGGGAATGATGTCCCTTCCCCCTGGAGCGGACACTGTCCCCACAGTCCCCCAGGCAGCTCACCCCGTGGTCGTACCTGGTCCTTGAGCTCCTCCAGTCCCAGCGTGGCGATGCCGCCCGATTTTTGCTTTTTCAGGGGTGGCTTGGAGCGGCGCAGGACCCGGCTCACCCTGTCCCGGATCACCTGGGTGCAGATGAGGGGGTCAGCAAGGAGCATCCTACGTGTGTGGATATCTCACTCTGTAGGGACCTGCCACACACTCCCCTGCCTGCCCTGGGGACATGGGGCTGACAGTGGGGACAGCGCCTCTGCCCACCACCCTCCCCATCCTCAGGGCACCGAGGGATGCTGGGGCACCTGTCCTCCTCCCACTGTCTCTTGCTGGGGGTTCTCTGATCTGGGGACTGTAGTAGCTCTCTGGAGTGACAGAGAGCACATGGCATCTCCCTTCCCGGGGAGCCTGGCCCCAACTCTGCACCTATCCCACTCCCACTGCCAAGCCGGACCCCTGAGGGTTCAGCGCACCTCGTAGACATAGTCCAGGATCTCCAGGATGGTGAGGATGCTGGCACCGATGAACAGGCCCATCTGTCCCCCAATGTCCCCTGGGAAGGTGGAGGGGAAGATGGTCACCAAGTGATGCTGTGCAGCCTGCGGGGAGCCCGGGGTGGGCCAGCGGGGCTGCGGGCACCACCACAGGCTGACAGCATGGTCACAGGGGCAGGAGTGGCAGGATGGAGGGAGCAGGGGACATGTGGGACAGGGGACGGCCAGCAGAATGCCACCCTGGCATGCACCTGGCTCCTGCCCCATGCAGTCCTTCCCCAACCAGCCCTATGCCCTCCCATGGCTGGAACCCAGAGCTCCAGGCATTGGGGTCCCATGCAAAGGTCACCGAGAAGTCCGGCAAGGTCATAGGCTTTCTTCTGCTCAATGGCCTCGTAGTTGAGCGCCTCAAAGAAGATATCCAGCACCAGGAAATTCTCCCTGTGGGGACAACGCAGTGCTCAGCATGAAGGTCACTGACCTTCCCACCCCCACTGCCCACCAAACGCCACAACCCTGTCCCCCAGCCCTCCAGCTCCCAGGGTGAGTTACTCAGGTGGGGAGGAAGCGTGGGGGGAGGGGGAGATGCTGGCAGCAGGAGGACACAGAGGGGTCGGGGCAGTGCTCCAGCCACCCCTGGCCAGAGGATGCTGCAGGGACCACATGTGCCAGGACCCACTCCCTGCACACTGCCAGGAATAGGGTGGGGGTCCTCCAGGGCCCCGGCCCCCTGACCACCATCCCCGGCACCCCTCAGCGCTGGCAGCTCACCGGGTGTAGGTTTCGTTCTTGTTGTACTTGCGGGCGAGGTAGCGTGCCGAGCCCTTGTTGGGGATGCGCACCATGGAGATCTCCTTGCCATAGCGCGTCAGGTTGCACGGCGTGGGGCAACTGCAGCGCTCCTGGCTGTCCTCCACCGCTGCATCTGGGGGCACAAATCAGTTGGCATGGCCGCATCCCCCAGCCTCCTCCCCAGGGGTGCCTGGCCAGGCCCCAGCCACCCACCTATCACCCTTGCACCTACCCAGCGTGTGGTCAGCACACTCGATGTACACATTGGGGGAGCAGATGGACTCGTTGCCTGTGGAGGAGCAGCTGGTTGGGGTGTGGGAGCCTGGCATGCTTCTGCCCACCACTCACTCCTCTAAAGGCAGTGAGGGAGGGGTGGTCCCTGGGTGCAGAGGGGATGGGGATGGCCCTTGGGTGTGAGTTGGCTGGAGCAGAGATGGCCTCTGGGTACAAGACAGAGAGGGAAGGGGCTGACCAGGGGTGTGAGGTGGCAGGACCGAGGCTGACCCAGCATGTGGAGAAGAGGGGGTGGCCCTTGGGTGCAGAAGGATGGGGCAGGGGTGATCTTTGGGTGCAGGCTGTACAGGGGCAGGGCAGCCCCGGGCAAGACCGTGGGGGCAGTGAGGTGCCCCCATGCCATCACACGCACCCCCCACCTGGCATGTGGACCATGCGGCAGTGGCAGCTCTGCACCACGGCTTCCTTCTCGCACTGCAGGCGGCAGGCAGCGATGCTGTAGGTGTCATAGCCGGGCAGCGTCTGCTCCCCTTGCGCGCTGGCCCGGCAGTTCCCCCACGGCTGCGGCAGGTAGGTGAGCTGCAGGGGCGAGAGGGGCACTGCTGCAGGGCTGCACCGGGCTGGACGCCTGCCGAGACCTCCCAGGGGGCTGTGGGGCACCCTGCCTTACCCGCTGCTCCTGGCAGGACACAAAGGTCTGGAAGCCAGGTGAGACACCGAAGCCCAGCTGATGGATATAGGGTGGCTCGTCCTGGCTGTGGATCTGGACCCGGATGCCAGCTTCAAATGATGTCTCATCTGCAGAAGGATAGAGGAGCTGCACGTCTGCCCACGGGGACAGCCCTCAGCTGTGTCCCTGTACCTGTACCCACCCAGGACATGCACGCTGGAGCCCAGCACCCCTCTGGTGCCCTGTTTGCCCCGTAGTCCCCCTTGGGGTGCCCTGCTTCCCCAGCACCCCTTGCCTGTGCCCTGTCCACACCACGGCCACACTCACTAGTTTCTCTCCAGATGGGCAGGTACTCCTCCTGCTGGATGTCCAGCATGATCTCCAGGCCGTTGCCCATGCCGCCCTGGCGTGTCACCCGCGGGTTCCTCCGGTCCCCATTGAAGGTGTAGCACTTACCGTAGCGTGTGTAGACCTATGGATGGAGAAAGCAGGGGGTGAGGGAGCAGGCAGGGGTCTCTTGGGGCATTCTGCAAGCAGCATGACACCCAGGAACACCTTTCCAATCCCATGGAGGTGCTAGATGGGGAAAAAAAATCCTTGCACGGCCTGTGGGAGGGCTCATCTCAGCCTCCCTTCCCCCCGCTGCCATCTCTTCACCCTTGCTGGGGGGGGAAGCATTGCTCCCAGCACCCGTGGGGCAGCCTCTGCCAGGAGGGGACTCACAGGGGTGAAGTGCTGGGGGCCGCAGCGCTCTCCCTGAAAGCGGCACTCCACCAGCATGTCCTCGATCTGGTGGCCCAGGCGGTGGAAAAAGCTCTGCATGGTGCGCTCAGAGCGGCGGGGCGGCAAGAAGCGCGAGTAGTTGGCGAGGCGGGTCAGCCATGCGCGCCGGTCCTCCCCCAGCACGGCCAGCATTTCAGGCACCAGCGAACGGTTCTCCCAGGACAGCCCCAGCCACTGCCCCACCGAGTAGAGGTCGGGCTTGGTGAGGTGCAGGAAGCGCACTCTGTTGGAGTTGCAGAGGGTGACGGCTGGGAAGCGGAGCTGGGGGGCCAAGGTCAGGCGTGCCCGAGTATGCACGGGGTGTGAGAGCAGGTGGTGCAGGCGGTCGGTGGCCCCAGTGGCCAGCAACCCAGCGGAGGCCAGGAAGGCCAGGCTCCAGCAGGCGGCGCAGGCGGGACTGTGGCCGTGTGCACATGTAGTGCAGCCCGGGGATCCTGGTGGCTCGCAGGACGCCGACGGCGAGCTGGGCAGCGCCGCTGTCCTGGGCTGCTGCCATGGGTTGCCCATCCCGGCAGCAGGCGAGGGGCAGCGGCATGGCTGCAGGCAAGGTGGCTCCTCTGGAAGGTGGGGTGCAGGCTGCCCCCAAGTCTGCCTGGGGTCCCTGGTCCCCTCCAGGGAGCGATCCCTCCCTGGAGGCTTTTGCTCTGCACCTTCCTGGAGATGAACGTGGCAGGCGCCTTCCCGAGCTGCTCCGGTGACGGGTGAGGGGAGGGAGAGGAGGGGGCTGCCGCAAACACACGCCTTCCCCCAACCTCTATTCGGGAATGGAAAATTCCTCCCCGAGTGGGGCTGGGACAGGGGTGTGTGCAGTGTTACCCCAGGAAGGCTAAACTGGAAGCACTCAGTACCCCAGCATGGTGGGCACCAGTGTCCAGATGGTGAAGTCCTGTCCCAGCCACGCTGTGTGAGCCCTGTGCCTAGGGATGCTGGCTTATCCCCGTCATGCCTTGTCCTGGCACTGCAGGCCCCTCTAGATCCTTGCCTGGACCCTCAGGGTCCCTAACTGCAGCTGCTCTGGGACTGGGGCCCCTGCCCTACAAAGGCAGGACAGTGCCAGGCCTGGCGGAGGCATCACCTCCTTGCAGTGCTGCTCAGGACCACATGTGTACCTTGGTCCCCAGTGCTGTATCCTGGTATCTCCTGCCCTGGAGCTGGAGACCGCAGTGGATATGGGCCCAGTGGGGCAGAAGAAGTGGGGCATAGGAGTAGATCAGGGTGAAGGAGTAGAGCCATGGGGGGGAAGGCTGCGTAGGAGCACACCTGAGCCCGGCGGGCCCTTTGAAGTGATGGTGAAGCTGTGATCAGAGTGCGGCAGTGGGGGGGCGGGGGGGTGTCTAAGCACCGGGCTGTCAGCATGGCTGGCAGGGCCCTGACAGCCTGTCAGGGTGTCTTCAAAGCTCAGCACCGCGCTTCCCGGCAGCCTCTCAACTCCCACTGCTGTCGCTCCCAGGCACCCGCCTTTGGCACCAGCCCTGCCGAGGTGTGGGTTTGGCCTCAGAGGGATCCCGTAGCCTCTGCAACCTTGGGATGAGCCAGGGCTGCCAT